GGGGGGGGGGGGGGGGGGGGGGGGGGGCTTTTAAGCGAGAGATGTTGTATTTGCATGACATGGTCTGATGAATTTCAACGCTTACGCGTTGCTACTTGCTGAATAGCAATGTATCGATCAGAAATTTATTCATACAACTAGACCAACGTCTCAATAATTGGAAACTTACTTCAAAGTCGAAAGGTATCGTACAATGAAACTTTACAATGCGAGTATATTTGTAAAATTATGTGCAAGAATTTCTGTTCAGAATTTCCCGTGCAGGATTGTCTGATCCTGCACGGCTGTTGACCAATCAAATTGCGTGTTTCACTGTAGTTATTATATAATTGTTGTTACTGTTAATGATACTTACATTCCGTAAGCAGTGCCAAGTTGATGTTCTGGAACAACCAGAGCCACTAACGGCCACAATGCACATGCTACGATGGAGTACGATAGACCCATAACAACCTACACAAACACATTGGAAAAATATTTATCTACAATTTTACAATCTTGCAAAGGTGACTCAACTTAATCGGAAACAAGGCCTCAAAGTGACAGAAGATGGCGGGAGAGTTAATCACGACCCTTGGCATTCATCTTCTGAGTGCATATCCACACCGGGGAGCTCCCGGCCACGGTGGGATTCGAACCTACGACCTTTGGAATACTAGCCCAATGCTCTTCCAACTGAGCTACGCGGTCAGGACGGTTCGAGTAATAAGTTGGAAGAGCATTGGGCTAGTATTCCAAAGGTCGTAGGTTCGAATCCCACCGTGGCCGGGCATATTTTTCAAGCTCGCCCGGTGTGGATATGCACTCAGAGTAACATCGCAAACATATTATTCACCTGAGTACACAACACCAACACAGAAAAACCCCCCCCCAAAAAAACATATAAATAGTCGTAAAGGGAACCTAAATTTCAAGTACGACGACGTGGATTTTACTTTACATTTTACTTTTTTCCCCTTAAATTAAACAGGGCTGTTTAGGAAACGTGTACAGCTTCATCGCCCCGGGTTTACACCAGGGACGACGCTTCGCGCCTTTGGCTCGGGGATTAAAAACAAGCTTGGCGTCAATTAGTAGCGCTAACTGCAGTTAAAAAGTAGTTAAAAAGTAGTTAACTTTAATCACGTAGTTAAGTGTAGTTAGCCTTAACTGCAGTTAAAAAGTAGTTAAAGTTAACTATACTTTAGGGTTTTGTTAACTGTCCAAAATGTAGTTAAAAATGGCGTTTGTATAGGAGTGAACAACATTTTTCAGTTAAACAATAATGAAAAGCAACGTTTAACTGAGATTTTCAATCGCTATCTTCCCTGTGAATGTTTCCTGACAATATAAACTTCAAACGCTATCGCTTTGGTGTTTTTACGAAAACAGAACTTTTTGCACAGGAGAAGACGAAGTATGGTCCATTACACCAAGAAACACTGATATATAATTGCCAAACAGCTATACCTTGGTTTAACATAGGCATATCAAGGAAAAACTGCATTCTTTTATGATTTTTGTGGCAGTTTTTCCTTGTTTTCTTGTATATTTTTCACTGTTTTCTAGTGTTTTGAATAAAATTCCCGCCTATTTGCGAAATACGAGTCCACAATCATGTTGAAAATGTGTGTCAGCGGTCGTTATTCGCTGCTTACTTTATGTAATTTTGTGTTTAAACGCCCCACGCAAGCCCCACGCACAGTTAACTACGTGATTAGTTAACTATCCGACTAACTACGTTTTGTGCAACGCAGTTAAGTCGTGTAGTTAACTAATTACAGTTAAGGATTTAACTACAGTGATTAACGCTAACTACAGTTAGCGCTAACTACGTTTTTATACAACCGGCCCCTGGAGTGAGGAGGATTCGGGAAATATTACCCTCAGTGATGATATTTCCCTCGGGAAATATCTTCGGATAATATTTCGCCGAATCCTCCTCGCTCCAGGTCTATAAATGATAAATATCCATGGTATGTAAATTGCAATTAGTATGAAAATTGGATTTCCATACTATTTCCAACGAAGATCCATGCTATTTCCATAGTAAGGATTTGAAAACAATTTCCAGTGGTTGTCTTTCAAAGAGATTCGAAATGAGTTACCTATAAATTGTGTGTTTTAATGCAGCAAATGGAACTAAAATCCCATATGAAGGTTGGGTAGAGCTCAAGTTTGGGTTATGTGCCCCAACCAATGGCCATGAAGTAGTTGTGTCATCTACGAATGGGTACGAATACCATTTGGAGTTTGGACTGCGAAACGCACCTGGGGAGTTCCAACGTTTCATGAAAAACTGTTTAACGGACTTACGTGATGAAATCTGCATCCCGGAAAAGGACGATGTCATTGTCTTTAGTAAAATTTTTGAGGAACATATTGAACATGGTCGAAAGGTTTGCAAAGATTACGCCAACATGGTGTAAAGTCGAAGGCGAAAAAGTGTAAACTATACAGGATGTATCAAAAAAAGCGCAATCCTCGACTGAAATGTAAATTGCTAAACAAATAATAGACGAAAACGTTAAAGTTTACATTCATTTTAAAGCGTAGCCATTCAGCTTTCTCACAGTGGGTTGTTTCTTAAATTTGACTCATTGGTTCGCAGGTAATAATACTTTACGTTATTGCAATTGGAGATTAAAAAAATTGAGATGGAATAACAAATCGTTCTCATGAAAATAACTGATTTTTTCATTAAAACAAAAAATGTTGCATTTTATTAAATGGATTGTAACAATAAGTATAATTACGGCTTTTCTTCCACTATTTGTAACTCAGTTTGAAACTTCAAATGCGATATAATCTTGACTTGGATCATCTAAGCTGACTGACATCAACTTGCTATAATTTCTGTTTACATTACATCGCAATTCGATGACACTCTGGCTCAGACACCAGAATGTTTTGACGATTTTTAGCATTCGTTTAGGATTTTCAAACAACCTGGTCTCTTTTAAAATACTTTTAATTTGTTCTTACGTGGTTTTCCAGATGTAGTGACGACAACATTAAAGTTTAAAGAAGAAAATTCTAACATTTAAACCGACTAAACAATAACATAGCAAACTTGCATAATTAAACAGCAACTAAAAATGATAGGTTTTACTAAATCTTTTCCTGTGCAATTATTACTAGCATTGGAGACAAGGATAATAGTTTGTTTGAAAGAGAAAAGAACAGACTTTGAAGTAAGCCTAAAAGCGTTTAACTAGAAATAGTATTTCGAAAGTTATTAAGCACAAAAGATGAATTGCGTTTATTTTGATACACCCTGTATAAAAGAAGTACTGTAAGTTGTCTTGGTCGTATTATCTCATCAAACGGACATTGCCCAGATCGTCCCAGTTATCAAGCCATTGACGCACCGAGAAACATTCACCCAAAGACGGTTGGCGACGTACGTAAGTTACTAGGACTTCTGGGATATTACAGACAATATATTCCGAATTTCTCAAGAATTGCTAAATGCATGTTTGACTATTAACAGTCTCCACCAAATGAAAGGATGGAAACGAAAGGTAGCCCAAGTTCAACCACCAAAGTCCAATGGGAATAGCACCATCAAAAAACATTAAACTTGCTATTAAGCTGTCCAGTAAAACCGTGAGACTTTAACTTTGAAGATCCTCTGAGAGGTTATACTTGTATGTGTTGAAACCATGTTGATACTGTATCACACGAAATCGCATTAATTAACAAATATAAAACATTTTCCGTGTTGATATACAGTTATATCAACACGAGTGGAATTGGGAAAACGAGAAATTGTAGGGAAACACGACGCCCGAAGGGCGGAGTGTTTTCATACAATTTCGAGTTTTCCCAACTTCCACGAGTGTTGATATAACTATATATCAATACGGAAAAAATGTTTTATATTTTTTTTTATAATATAGCAATGTCAAAAGCCCGAAGGATAAGAAAAATTTCCGTGTTTACAAGCGGCGGAAAATTTCCTGTGTTGACATTGAGTTATATCAACACGGCTCTTAGCCAATCAGCGTTCAGAATTTACAAATGCTATATTATAATGCATGATATAAATGGTTACCATATCAGTCTATTTACCATAGCGAACATACCTACAAATAACGTCCATCCTAAGGTCACATGGCCTATTCCGAAATGTTTAGAAAACATATCGTAGATCGGTTTCATTACATTCAAATTCACAGTGCTGCCCTGGAGAAAGTGTTATACAAAAGCTACTTGTTCACTTGTTCACACAACTATTTATCGATAAAATAATAGACTTAGTCTTAGTTTATATGTCTAAGTTCACTTATGACTTATGTACCTCTTTGCACGATCACTGAGCCTGTGTATTGCTGTCTACAGCTTGATTGGGGCCATTCTGATGATTAGACTGATGAATTCGAGAAACAAAAAAGAAAAATTCTACTTTGTAGCAAAGAAATATGTAAACAGACCGAGCGAACAATTTGCTAAATGTTGACAGTAAAATAAATGTACAATCTAATATAAAATCAAATAAAATTTAAACTCTAACGAATATGAAAACTCATTTGGCCTATATATAGAAAAATTTACTTCAAACTTACCATAATACTGGCTTCTTTTGGCAAAAACTCAAAACAAGTAAACATTGTCAAGGGGAGAGCGCTGGCGTTTAATCGGTTAACTGGCCTATCTGCCCATGTGTCTAGTTAACCCATTGAGTCGCATTGCACCCTGATGCACCCTACTTTAGTATTTTACACTGTCTAATGTTTACAAATTGAATTAGCACTTGTGTAAACCCAAAATATTTCAAATAGACCCAAGAAATTTAACTGAAAAGCATTCGAGTTTACACGTTTGTGTTCATACGAAGCTATCAAGCGCTCCGCCGTTTTCACCTCGCTCCGTTTAGAAACCGTGCTCAAATTGTTACGGCAAAAGTGACGTGAAAGTTTTCAAACAATTTCGCTCCAGCGTAGAGTGAATTAGCGATGTTATTGTGACTTTTCTACGCTGTTTTCAAATAGCTCCGGCGTGGCGGAACACTTGGCGGCTTATTGTGACTTGCGAACACAAACACGTGGCAGGTTTTGTCGGATAATTTGCAGAAATTCGATCTGATCTAAAACTCCACACGAGTCAGAACACGAGTGAACACAAGTGAACACGAGTGAACCCGAATGAACACGAGTGAACACGAGTGGACACGAATGGAACACGAGTGAACACGAATGAAATACAAGTCTTAAGCGACTAATAACCCTAAATACGGAGGGCAATTCAAAACAGATTTCTTGTGATAACCCATACGTATTTTTGTCAATTAATGTTGGTAGGCGCTGTAGTTCCCACACCCGGTTGCTACGACTTCCCCATTCCGTGCAAGATTTTAGGGAGGGTGCACAGAGAAATTGGAACTATCACAATTAACTATAAACTACGCAATGGTTTATTTTCCAAATTTGAACTGTATCACATCAGTTGAAAAACAAAAACTTGTTAACGTGTCCGGGGGAGTACACCTAGGGGGAGGCGGAGTTGGGGGGATGGAGGGATGGGTTAGGGAGAAAACATTTTCGGACATACCATTTTTCACTAACTTACCGAAATTTGTACAATTTTCCGAGGCAATTTTCAGTAATATTTTCATAAATTTATCTAAATTTATCCTACAATTGCCATTTTTCAAAAATTATTTGTTAAATTACATTTTTTTGCCCGACGAGCGTGTCGTTAAAATTGCCCCAGGAGTTACGCCCTTGAACGTGTCTTAATATTAATATAGTTGTAATATATTCAGTATATATGCATGCTAATTAGATTCATGTATATAAGGGTTGTTTTTGTAACATAATAAACAGACTAATAACATAACATGGTGTCAGGATGGAGCCGTTTATGAAGCCTCCTTTAGAGATGAACTTTTCCACAACTGAACAGTTGTCGTTATCCGAAAGATGGAGACGATGGAAGGAAACTATGCAGTTATATCTTGGATTAAACATGTCTAAAGCCAGCGAGAAAGAACAATGTGCGGCGTTCCGGTATGTGATCGGACAAGACGGGCGAGACATTTATAACACAATGAAGTTTACACAGGCTCAAACGGACAAAATCGACGTGTTATTCGCGAAGTTTGACGAGTATTGTGAACCCAGAAGAAACACGATTATGGAAAGATACAAGTTTAATACGCGAGTGCAAAGAGACGACGAAACAGCCGATCAGTACGTAACTGAACTTAAATTGCTCGCTAAGAATTGCAACTTTGGGTCTCTTGAGGACGAGTTGATTAGGGACCGCGTTGTAGTTAACGTCCACCGAAGCACGAGAACGAACGAATATGCAAGTATGTAAATTGTTTCATTGAAATCGCGAAAGCTGATTGGTTTGCATATTAAAACATGTACGAATAGACCAAAGTGAACGAACGAGTGAACGAATGACGAGTTAGTAACTATGGGAGATACGTTACAACCCATTCGTTACGACCTACTTACTACAAAACGGACATGTCCTGGTACGCTTTGTCAAGTTCAAACTCAAATTTCTTGCCGGTTTTTCTGTCACCGTTTATAGGTTAACTCTATCACATTCCTTGTACTGCGTATCATCATTATTAATCGTCGTTGGTTGTCTATGACGATGATCATACATAAACAGCTACGAATTGCTACGAATTAAACATTCTTAACAATGTTTCCCATTCGAATGAATGCAAATGATTCCTATGTGCGTGCCAAACATTCATACATACAAATATTCATGTCAATGTGCTAAACAACTAGTGAACATGCATATTAAGTAAAATGTTGTTTAGGCCAGCGCTTTGATTGTTTGAAACGCCCTGGAGGATAGAGAACACATAACATAACCTGGCTGAAACAAAACACACAATGTGGGCTGTCTTGACTGTATAGCACTGAGTATAGAATTCGTTGTCTGTGCATATTATGCATGCCTTTCAAACTTAGCGTTATAACGTACGCGTAAACCATAGTCCATAGTTTCAATAATGCTTCCAAGACAAGTAAGACGTATAGGCGAGGTGGAACGAGCCGTGATTCATGAGCGGTATATGGACATCGGTCCGATCTGGGACGTGATAGCGAACGATATCGTGAGGCATGAGAGATTTCGTGAGATTCCTGCCAATGTGCAGGAGCTCTATGCTAATGTTGGAAATCGACGTGCAGCAAGAAGACTTCGCGATTTTATTGCAAGAGAACAAAGAGAGTAAATACGGCAGCATGTCGTGCACCAGTTGACGAAACGATTCCACGTTCTCGCTTGTCATCGACCAAAACAAATGCTCACACCTTTCTAATTCGCTGCAGAAATCTCTTCTCGGGAAATGTGAACCAACGAAGTCGGGGTTTAGAATTTGTTCAGTGCGAGCTCTTTGTAAAATGGACTGAGCGCACGTTGCTATTAAACTGAGCAGCGCATAGAGCTGCCTGATACAGGCAAATAAAGCATTCAATTCATCTTCGTCAATTATTTCTCTCTGATCTGTTGCCTCTTCTATGGCCGCATGGATTACAGGTATATAAATTTAAAATCTGAAGATTTACGAGTACTATATTTATGACCTCAACGTCGTCTGCCATATTTCGTTTTACCTCCTCAACAAACAGAAGCTCAAATCACTTTAATTAATCACACATGCATGCGCATACGAAATTGCATTTAGTTTAACAACAGTGCACTCTTTCAAAATTTGAATCTGAAAATGTGGACTTTTTTCTATACAATCTGTACGTACTCATGCAGCAAATTGCTTCATACGAATAGAAATATTTACACAGCTGATCACAAAGAATTTTAACACGATAGCTCAACTAACGAAACGAATATGCTAATTAAATTTGTCTCAGCCAATTGAAACCGTTCAGTTGAACGAATGTGGACGGTACAGTCGTTCAGTTAATAAGGCTATTCGTTCGTTCTCGTGCTTCGGTGGACGTTAACTTGTTTACGGAATAAAATCGGAGCGTGTGAGAGAACGGTTATTACGAGAACGAGAGTTAACGTTAGATAAAGCGTTAGAAATATGTCAAATAAACGAACAGTCTGAGGAACAACTAAAAGTACTAAACGATGTTCAGAGCGTCAAGGCCATAGGAAAACATAACAAATCAGGAAATTATCGTAGCAAATTAGATGCAAATCGAAGGCGTGATTTCAAGCATAACGGCGGCAACAAACAAGAACAAGTATCGTGTTGCGGAAAGTGCGGAAAGTCTCATCCTGCGAAAGAATGCCCAGCTTTTGGTAAGAAATGTTTTAGGTGTGACAAAAAGAATCATTTCGCTAAATTCTGCAAGTGAAAGATAATACATGCAGTAGACAAAGCGGGTACAGATGACGAACCGTTGTTTATTGGAGCGGTTAATTCAATTCATAACGAAGAGAATGTTTTCAAAACTTTATCAATCGAGGGAAATGAGATCAAGTTCAAGATTGACACGGGATCACAAGCCAATATAATACCCCTACTTACATTCGAGAAGATGAAGCTGAAACAAACCCGGTTAGAAAGACCAACAGCAAAGTTAACAAGTTACACTGGCGATTATCTACCGGTCGTCGGAGAATGCAATCTGAAATGTAACAACAAGACATTGAAATTTTTCGTGGTGAAAACTGGACAAGTTCCCATCATTGGTTTGAAAGCTTCTCAAGAACTGAATCTGATCAAAATCATCATGAATGTGAACAATGTGATTGGTCAATCAGCAGAAACCATTCATGAGAAATTTCCTAAAGTATTTCAAGGTTTGGGATGCCTAAAGAATCCATACCACATCGAAGTCGACCCTACGATTATACCTGTCGTCAGTCCTTTAAGAAGTACACCAGTTGCGCTCAGAGAGAGGCTGAGGTCTTCGCTAGATGATATGGAAGAAAAGGGAGTCGTGGAGAAAGTCGATGGTCCAACCGAGTGGGTGAATTGACAGTGATTATAGAGAAGCCAAACAGTGACAAACTACGAATTTGTCTTGATCCAAGAACACTCAATGAAGCTATCAAGCGAGAATACTTCAAGATGCCAACAATAGAGGAAATCACGACGCGTGTGGCCGAAGCCAGAGTATTCTCCAAACTGGACGCAAATCATGGCTATTGGCAAATACCACTAGATGAAGAGAGCCGATTGCTGACCACATTCAACACACCATTTGGCCGTTACTGTTATAAAAGGATGCCAGTTGGAATCAAGTCTGCGCAAGAAGTATTCCAGAAACGAATGTGTCAATCCTTTGGAGATCTCGAGGGCGTGGAAACAGATGTGGATGATATTTTGGTTTGGGGAGCCACAGTCGAAGAGCACGACGAACGTCTGATGAATACCCTACAACGATGTGAATAGCTCAACCTCCCTCTCAACAAAGAGAAATGCGAGTTTCGAGTGAAAGAAGTCACTTATATCGGTCACAAGTTAACCCGAGAAGGTGTGAAGCCAGATGAGCAGAAGGTTAAAGCCATTAAGCAGATGCCCCCTCCCGAAGATAAGAAAGGAGCTGAACGATTGCTTGGTACAGTGAACTATCTAGCAAAGTTTATACCTAACATGTCCACCATAATGCAGCCGATTAGAGAAGTTATGAAAAGTGGCGTGGAGTTTCAATGGGGAGGTGCACAGGAGAAAGCGTTCCAAGAAGTAAAAGAAATACTAACAAAGGCGCCAGTTCTTGCATACTATAATGTGAAGAAACCTGTGACGGTGACGTGTGATGCTTCAAAGAGCGGTTTGGGAGCTGCCTTACTTCAAGATGACAAACCAGTCGCGTTTGCTTCGAGAGCCCTAACAGATGCGGAAACTCGGTATGCGCAGATCGAAAAAGAACTATTGGCAGTTGTTTTTGCGTTCGAGAAGTTCAACCAGTACACATATGCCTGAGCTGTAGAAGTTGAAACTGATCATAAACCGTTGGTCTCAATTGTGAAGAAGTCGTTAACGTCAGCGCCACCTCGTCTGCAGAGAATGCTATTACGGTTGCAACGGTACGGCTTTACATTGAAATACAGACCTGGGAAAGAAATGATCAAAATGAAACAGCGATTGACCAGACCATGAAGACCCTGTTCTCAACAATCCGAAGGGGATGGCCAGAGACAAGAAAACAAACACCTTGCGAAATCCATGACTACTGGAATTATCGTGACGAGCTTTCAGAAGTAGATGGAATCTTGTTGAAGCAAGACAAGATTATCATACCCCTCAGTATGAGAGGAAAGATGCTAGAAAGAATACATGAGAGTCACATGGGCATAGAGAAATTCAAACGACGAGCAAGGGACATTATGTTTTGGCCAAGAATGAATGAGCAAATTGAAGCTGTTGTATCCAAATGCAAAACCTGCCAAGAATACCAGATGTCGAATCCCAAAGAACCCATGGTGCAAGGAACAATACCATCGAGACCCTGGGAAATGGTCGCAACTGATTTGTTTCAGTGGGATCAGAACAACTATCTGGTCGTGGCAGATTATTATTCGCATTATATTGAAGTAGTCAAGTTGGAAAACACCACCAGCAGAACTGTTGTGAATCATATGAAGTCCATATTTGCAAGACATGGAATTCCATCAGTCGTAAGAAGTGACAATGGTCCTCAGTACACTGCCACGGAGTACAAGCAGTTCGCACAAAAGTGGAATTTCGAGCATCAGGCTTCAAGTCCATATTATCCGAAATCAAACGGTTTGGCTGAGAAAGCAGTTCAAATCGTGAAACGTTTGCTATCGAAAGCAAAACAAGATGGAAAAGATCCATACCTAAGTTTGTTGGAGTATCGCAACACACCCATAGGTAACGTAGCTTCACCAGCACAAATCTTGATGAGCCGACGTTTGCGTTCGCACTTACCAACTACCCCAAATCAACTTCAGCCAAAAGTTGTTGATCCTGAGAGAATGAAAGAAAAGTTCGAAGAAAAACAAAGAAAGCAAAAACGATATTATGACAGAGGGTCCACGGAGCTTCCCGCAGTGCAAGAAGGAGAAGCAGTACGAGTACAAGTACAGAATAAGTGGAAACCAGCAGTGATCAAAGAGAAACTGGAAACACCTAGATCGTACATCATTCAAACACCCAATGGTCAACGATTTAGAAGAAACAGAAATCATATCAGAAAGCAGAAGTATGGTGTTCAGATATCAAGACAGTGGGAACCAATTGAAGATTTCCAGTCTGATGGTGCCAGAGAAGTTCGTGAGGAACAAGTCTCAGAGCCAAGTACTGGACAATATTATAAAACTAGAAGCGGACGATTGAGTAAGCCACCTGAGAGATATCAAGCATGTTAATTTAGTAAATTAAAGTTATAATGAACATAAAATTCACGAGACATTTATATTTAGATTGACTATTAAGTTAAATATATAATTTATAATGTGCTAGTGATATAAGATATGATACAGAGTGAATAGTGCTATACAAGAGCGGTTTACAATTACATTTACTGACAAAAGACAATTACTGACAGTTCCGCCTACGTAAATATATTGTGTAGAATTTAAAGTTTTTTGAGCAAAAAGCGATATTGTTCTGGCAAATGTTTTGAGTTGTTATCAGCGTCTTTCATGCATGCAGTGTGCCAAGACTCTAACGTCGATCTGTGTCGATAGCTTCCCTTGTCAATTATTTTTCCGTTCTTAAAATCAATTCTGTGGTCGTTTGCCCCCGCATGATTCGCGATATTAGAGCCACTCTTGCATTTTTTCACGTTTCGTTCGTGCTCTTTTTTTCTTGTTATAAAGGCCCTGCCTGTCTCGCCAACGTAACTCCACGAGCAATCTGAAC